GTAACATTGTTGCACTCACTATCCCGGGTTTTGTTTGTGTAAGCGTTCTGTTGCCGGCAAATCAAACATTCTGCAAATTAAGGCAAATACTCAGTTACGTTTCTTTATATTTTATTATGTTACAGATTAAGTCATTTGTTCATACTTTATTCTGTCTTTTCAGTCTTCATGAGGGTCAGGTGTGGGGAAACGCCTGCCTAGCATTTTCTCATTTTAAAGTGGAGGGGTTTCTTTTTCCATAGAGATGCTTCCTTTTGTTTGTGTTAAGGTTTAAAGGGATTTGTTGAACTTTTTTCCTTTCGTTAATACTGCCATTTAGTTGTGTAAATGTGCATATTAGAAGTGTGAAGATGTTTTGTGTCTTTTTAATCATCTGTGTAGAGTTTTAGATCCCTCAGTTCGAGTGAGTGGTACTGGCTGGGCTAATTGGAGGGAAATTGATGGCCCTGTTTAAAGCCAGTCTCTACCAGATTCAGAGAGAGGAGAGGTGAGCTGTGTTGCCAGGTCCATGTTCTGTTAAGTTTTGTTAATGGAGTTGATTTGGGGGAAGTCTTGTTAAGTTACACATTAAATTAAGTTCACTGTAAATAAATTGCTCACCTCTGGAAACCTGAAATGTCTGCGTAGTCTGCTTCCCTACCACCTTCCTTGACGTTCGAGTCTGACTACTTCACAAGGTCACGAATTGTTGAAGTTTATAGTATAAGTTATCCTGCTTGTGCTATTTTGTTTTATTCCTTCAACAGAAAAATAATTAGGGCAAAATTGGCAGAATCAACCTAAGAAACTCTTGCAAAAGGAGATCTTAAAAGTTTGAAAAATGTAGAATTTGAAGGTATAGTATGTATTTCTTGATTGAGGACTGTTTGGTAAATATCATTTAGTTCCATTATTTCAAAAGACATCATGAATCTCTACAGCAGATAATATATACAAAATAAACAAACAATAAAATAAAGATGTAATTTTAATTTCTAATTATATTGTTTATTCAAATGTGCAAATTGCTTTGAGTGATCAGTAAGACTAGAAAATTTGCAGTAGGCCTACAGCAATGACTTGAGAGACAAAACCAAACCAAAACATTTATATAATGTTTGGAGTTTATATGAAGTAAAGATGACAAAACTACTTTGTACTACATCTAAAATCTTTTAGAGCCATCTGTGTGGCTTTACTCCATTGTTTGAATTCAATTCAGTTTTATTTATACAGCGCCAAATCACAACAACATTCGCCTCAAGGTGCTTTATATTGTAAGGTAGACCCTACAATAATACATACAGAGAAAAACTGAACAATCATATGACCCCCTATGAGCAAGCACTTTGGCGACAGTGGGA